TTTATATTTATTTTAATATTTTATTCAATATAGATAATAATAATTTTTACAAAACCTATGTGTGGTATGGTGCAAATATCCATGTTCAATTTACACTATAAAATTAAATAAATTAATAAATAAAATTTTTTTTGGTAATTATCAGTTTTATTTATCCTTTTTTTTTCTAAAAACATTCGAAACATATTTCACACTTAGTGCACATTTATGTGCACTTCATATTTTTAACTGAATAAGAAAACTATAAGAGGCAATAGTGCGGCAACGTTGTATTTAGTTTCTTCGAATTTGTAGATGTCGCCTTTTAGCTTCTAAATGTCATTATTGAGTTCGCCATCTATTTGGTTTTATCTATGATTAAATATCTGGAGAGAAGAAATGTCTGAAATTCTTCAAAATCGGTATCCATATTTTTTAAATTTGCGAATTAGCGAAAAAAGTTGGGCATACAATAAATTAAAATCAACTGTCACTTCATAATAATTATTATCACTAGTAATATCCCTAGGACATTGATAACAGACGAGATAATTTCATGACAATCGAAAGCTCGTTGCTTGGTAACAGCACGAAGCCTTCGGCTTCGTGCTGTTACCAAGCAACGAGCTTGAGAAATTTGTCATGAAATTATGAGTCATTCATCAATGTCAGAGGGATATTCGGCGGATAATTTTTCGAAAAAAAAATCATAACTCAACATAACGAAACATTGATTTATTAAAAGTAGAGGAAGTGGTCCGAATATGAGCCCTGCACTTATTATGGGCCCCCAATATATTTCAACTAGAGCACGTCGCGACATCTATGAATTTCGTACTAAAATACTTCTACTAGACCCCCAAACATTTTTCTGTTTATGCACGCAGTCTCGTGTATATCTCTGTACTAACAGGTGACATAAGTTTATTTGTGTAGTTCAACAAATATTTTACGGTAAGTGTTTTTGTGCTATTTATCAACGTTTATGTTTGAAACTGGAGAGTTGATGTGTTAGTATGTTAGAAAAGTGATCAGTATTTGATATTCCATCATAAAAACTAACCTAATAATGAATTGAGAAGAAATTGAATGCTTTTAAATAATCAGGTGGAATGTTGTTAATATGGGCCCCTACCGTGGTCCTATTATGGGACAGAGCTCATATTCGGACCAAGTCTTAATAAAGTGTTTTTTTTGCAGTTCATTATGCCACGAAGCAAACCGAAGTTTTTTTCAAAGAACTTAAGACAAACATGGAGACGTGAAGATATGGTTAAGGCTATGGACAGTGTTAATAACAAAATAATGGGTCTTAAAACTGCAAGCAAACAGTTCAGCGTGCCACGATCTACACTTCAAAGACTGTTAAAAAAACAAAAGGAAGGTAATTTAAATATTAGTGACGTAGTTAAAACTCAACTAGGAAGAAAGACAACATTAGGAAAAGAACTGGAGGAAGAACTTGTCCAATATGTTTTGTCCATGGAAGCTACTTACTATGGTCTCACAAGAAAGGACATTAGAAAAATGGCATATGTCTTAGCTGTTCGTAATGGAATAGCTCATCCATTTAAAAATGGTGTGGCGGGGAGAAGCTGGTTGGATGCATTTTTACTACGTCACAAAAATGTACTTTCTATTCGAAGACCAACAGGAACTTCCTTCGCTAGAGCATTAGGCTTCAATAAGGAAAATGTGGAGCAATTTTTTGACAATTTGCAGAGTGAATACTCAAAAAATAAATTTTCGCCTCACCAAATTTACAATGTAGATGAGACTGGGCTTACAGTTGTTCAAAGTAAGGTGGCATCAGTGGTGGGAAGAAAAGGAAAACGGCAAATTGCTTCAATTACCTCAGCCGAACGGGGTTCACTAGTTACGTTTATAGCTGCAATGAGCGCTGGAGGTCAATTTGTACCGCCCATGTTAATTTTCCCGAGAAAAAATCGCAACGAACAGCTGATGCGAGGGGCTCCTCCAGGTTCAATCTACGCAGTACATCCAAGTGGGTGGGTGCAACAGAATTTGTTTTCCGATTGGATGAGGCATTTCATAAATTTTGTTAAACCAACAAAAGAATGTCCAGTTCTGCTAGTGTTAGATGGCCATTATAGCCACACACGAAACTTAGAAGTTATTCGACTAGCTCGTGAAAATCATATTTCCATTATCTCTTTGCCGCCTCACTCAACTCATAAATTACAACCCCTTGATAAAACATTCATGGGAAGTTTCAAGGCTTATTACAGTGAGGAAATTAGAAATTGGCTTCGTGTTAACCAACGAGCCCTCACACAGTTTGACTTGGCAGAACTTTTAGGTAAAGCCTTTTTAAAATCACAGTGTGCCGAAATAGCTGCTAGTGGTTTTAGGGCGACGGGAATATATCCGTTCAACCGTCACATTTTTTCTGAAGCAGATTTTATATCTGAACGAATTCAGGCTGAGAAAAACTGCAACATTTTGTCTCAAGCCTCGCCTCAAGCGCGGCCTGTCACAACAGAACCCCAGCATGGTACCCCAGAACCTCAGCCAGGATGTTCTTTTTGGGAAGATACAGCTAAATTACAATCACAGGCAACATCTTCGCCGTCAAATTCCAATTTCTCTAGACCATCTGTTCCAGGAATGGAAAATTCCGTTAAATTGGTCTCACCATTTGACATTTCACCTGTACCTTCCGTCACAAAGAAAAATACCACTCGGGGAAGAAAATCAACTAAATCGCAAGTGATCACCTCTTCCCCCTACAAGGATGAGTTAGAGAAATCCTGCACCAACACGCCTAAGAAAGCAAGCACCAAACGACAAGTCTTTTCAAAATCAAAAGCAAAGAAGACAACTAACAAAAAAAGACAGCAAGCAAAAGACAATAAAGTCAGCGACTCTGAGGATGAAAGTCACGAGTTTGTCCCAGACGATGAAGATATGGATATCGACGAAATTGGCAAATCTGTTCCTGACGGCTGTGATGCAGTATGCCTATTTTGTGATGGTCGCTTTTCCGATGACCAGAGAGGAGAGTTATGGATTCAATGCTTCATGTGCAATCAATGGGCTCACGAACAATGTTCAGGTGCCGAAAAAGATGCATATATTTGTGACTTTTGCGTGTAATATGTGGTTTTTAAGTTGAAATGTATTTTCATTTTCATTTTCAGTTTTTTTTATTTGAAAAATATATGTTTTTTCAAATTGTTAGATACCTATCAATTATTTTACTAGGGGGCCCATATTCCACGCAGTCTAATCCAAAAGTAGATCTGTACATAATTTAAGTGTTGACACAAATTCCACCTAAATTTAATTTTTTTGATAATGCCTTTTTAATATACCATAAGGTAAACCTTTAAGCTTGTAGTGTGTAATTTACTGGATATTTATTCGTAACTTTCAAAAATTTATACAAAAAAAACAAATGGGGGGCTCATATTCGGACCACTTCCTCTACAGTTAGTGAAAGTAAAATTATTAAAATTTAAGTTAACATTAGATTCGTTGCTGTTCTCTACTATAGAACGTCATATTGTAATATTCATTTATACTTTGAACATTCTCATTGCCGAAACGTGACATTTTGAAATTTATTTGTTTGAAGTTGTCAAACTCGATCGTGTTGTCATAGGGATTGAAAATTGCACTGAATGCAATTATCAGTCTAATGTTGACATGATTGGGTGAAATTGTTCCACATGACACAAAATGACGAAATTTGAATGGTTATTAGAACAGTCGAAAAATTATCATAGTAATAAAATCAGGGCAGACTGTATTATCAAACAGCGTCAGCGATTCAAAAGATAAAAATAGGGATCGGAAAAGCTTTTGGCGGTCCCACACTTCTTTTTTGCGTTCTTGAGCGGCAAAACATTATTTTTTGGACAAAAAATTGTCCAGAAAGTGTATATTTTCTGGTCGGACTTTAAAAAATATATTTTAAAACACTTTTCTATTTTAAATATAGAAAGAATTAGAAAAAATAAACTATATATTATTCAGATGAATTAGTTTTTCTTGTCATAATAATCAATCATAATATCTTATTATAATCTATACTGCGAGGCATAAGTTAGGGATATCGCTTAATATTAAATATACAATAATACAACAATTATACAACTCTACAAATCAATTAAGTCTAGATAGAACGTTTAACAGACGACTTTCTTGAAAATAGTTAATCTTTAAAATGAGGTTTTCTGAATTAAAAAATGTTTATAAACAAAAAACTTATTGCAAATTAAACCCGAAAGTAAGCATGTTTTCCAATTGCTTATAATTATTAAAATAAACAATAAAAACATTTAAAACACATTTCATGTGAATTTTTATGTAGTTACTACATTTGTGAAAGATGGGCCCAATCGGTCAAGTAATAGTTTTTTATCCCATTTGAGAGAACAAAGATAATTTTCAAATGGCTGTACAGGTACTGTGTCAATACTAATTTTTTTTTGTCTGATTCGCTTTATAAGGTCTCAAATTTTCATGTTTTTTTAAAAATAATAATATTTCTTAATTGTTTACTTACAAATAATTGATGCATAATGAAGTACCATTACCATTATATTGACAATATTCCTAACTTATGCCACGCAGTATAGAAAGTAATGTAATTACATGTGTTTACAACGTCCTTCCCCTTTTTTATTCCATTATATATTGGTATTTCTGTCCATTTGGACAATCAAATCTTTTTTACTTTCTGTTTAGGGTTGCCTACAATTTGTAGTGAGTGTTCCTAACGCTGCATTCTACTTATTACAACATATTTTGTTTTGGGTATATTAATTGACTGATAAAAGTTTTCTTTACTTTATTGACTACTATATATATAACTTGTTGTATTCATGTTTATGTTCATACCCTGGTCAAGTTGTAGTTGCCGCTGTGCTACGACTTTACCATGGGACTTGAGCAAGCTTCAATGGATTAGCCATTTTTTACATAATCAAAGTTTTATTAGTCATTTGGTTTTCTTTTCAAACCTGATACTATAATAGACTGATTTATATTTCCAGCTGGACATGGGCCTCATTTCGACCATTATCGTGCAGAAAATCAATCGCATCATATATCGACTAGAGGCTTAAAAGGTCCTCATCATTTATACGAATGTAGAAGGACTAACATAATAGGTTCCTTAGTTCAAGATGCTTCACCATTTCTATTTCCATGTACCATAGAATACAGCCTAATCTGCGCAGCCATTCTCTACGTGATGTGGAAAAGCATCTCAAAATTACCACCTCCAGGTTCAGTGGCTGCTAAATTAAAATTAGCGGAGATGAACAAAGTGAAAAGAAGTCCTCACCATTATTCCGTCGATTGTGCTAGAGCTCACAAAGGTTTATTTGTCGGAATTCTATTACTAGTACTGACTATTATATCTTTGATTTTGTTTTTTGTTCTAATTTCTCGAGCCGAATTTGTTGGATTGGCTGTAATCGAAGTTAATATTTGTGAATTAGCCCTGTATGGTTTAACAACTTTAGCGTCGATTACAGGCATGTGGCAAATGAGAAATTTAAAATACAATTCAAGCCAAAATCTACATTTAGACAATATACTTTTAATAGGTGCTCAAACCGGTATGTTTATTTACAGTATGTTTACCATAATAGGAGGCCAATTTACCATACAAAAGACTACAGTCTTGGTACTAATAACAGCAGTATGTTCTTTACTTCAAACTACATGTCAAACAATCTTTGTATTAGATGCTTCTCGAAGAACTTGTTATACACCTGACCAGATGAAAAAGAAACCTGGAAGACAAATCGTCACTTTCCTACTTATTACAAATTTAGCAATGTGGGCTATTAATACTTTAGAAAAATCACGAGCGGAATCTCATCCTATTCAACTACATTTTTATGGTTTGTGGGCTTGGACAATTATTACTCACGTTTCTATGCCGCTAGCAATATTTTACAGATTTCATTCTACAGTGTGCTTATGTGAAATCTGGAAAAGAACCTATAAAATGAAACCTACATATCTATAACTTTGAAAAGATTGTGATATTATATAATAATAAAATCTCAACCATATCGGATTTTCACCAGTTGAATAAAAATGCAAACCAATGAAAAAATTACTATTTACTATGAGACACATTATCTGACACATGTCAATTATCTCCTTTCTTTGATAAGTTAAGAAATTTGGTTTGTTTCGTACGTTTAGTATGTCTAAATCATGTTCCATAACAAACTGTAGTAATGATTCACCTTTTTCGTTGGTGTTTCTACTACTCCAGGTTAGATGGTGCACATTCGAATCACAGTCGATGATTAATGGTAATCCAATTTTCCTGCAATCTCACAAAAGCTTTACAACTTCCTTAATCGTCATATGGGAAGTATGCTGATCCAAGGATTATCTCCTTCATACTTCCGTCCTCTATGATCTTAATCTTTACCGTCGTTAAATCTCTAGAACAAATATTCATCAATGTCATTTTTTTGATATGTCATTTAAATATTATGTAGGTCCTTGAAACTTCGGAAGATCGGCTATATATAAGCTCTCCTCCAATGCCTGAGACACCTCTAATTTTGCCCAGTGCTCTTGTGGCAAAGTTGCTTTTGTAACCTTCTCATAGCAACAGTAAGTTCTGCCGAAGCTGCCTGCCTTACTATGTTGAAGGTTCGCCTGCAGAACTCTAATTGGAGCCATCGAATCTTCCGATTGTTTTGAAGCATACCTTTCCAAGTCTGTAATAAGCCTTGAAATGAGCAGCCCTCTTAGACCTAGAGTTTGTGCGTCCTCTCCAATCTTCCAATTTTTCAACAATTAGCCTTCTGATCTTGATTTTGTTTCCTTAGACGGGTCCTGATGGTTTCTTCATAAGCCACTTTCTCGAGAAGGCAAAGTGAGAACCACGAGGCTCTTGGAAATATTATTGGGATCGACTATATTTAAGTCTGCTCCATCCCATAGGCCCCCCTATAGTCCTTAACAACTCAATAGTCAATTTTTCCATCTAAGCGTTAGCACAATTGACCTACAGGTCCCTTGCGCTAAACAATGTTTTATGTAACTATACAAGTTGATTCTGACCTCTGCTCAACTGCTTGTTTCAGTTTGTTGATGATTGCTCTGCTTGAGCCTGATCTAGTTGAGTATCAGGATGGTGCTTGTGTGCCACTGCCATTCTGAATACCTTTGTAACTTTGCTGAATTACCTAGGCTGCTCGTTAGAGTTCTCTGTTTTTTAACTCTTTGTTTGGGGGAATGATCTAATTCTTCCGAAATCTCTTTTTACCCTCGCATTTTGCCGGTACTCGCGCTTTAATTTTTGCATTTTTGCCTTCTTCTTTATTCTCCCTTGTTCACAGAGATCACCAGAGAGGCGTTTTTTGATACTTTAGTCAGCATCTTTTCCTCTCGGAATACCTTTTGGCTTAGTATTTGGGACAGATACAGAGTCCGCATCTGAAGCCGTCACTCTAATCTTTATATATAAATATGAATCTGCTGTGTTTATATATAGTTATGAGCTCAAATAAGTTATTCATTTCTGAGTCCTCTCCTGAGCTTAGATCTCTATTTTGTTTTTTTCTCATTGCTCATATTGTTCTTTTATTCTTTTTTCCCTGGTCTCTTTTCCATACACTTTACCCTAAAGAACCGAGATGTAACAATCCATATATTTTATACATTTCTTATTATATGATCCAGATATTACTTTTTGCAATCTTTCATTATATAAATGATTCCGCATTCCTTTCTCATTCTACATATAAGCTCAAAATTAGTCATCCGATCAACTCATGAAATTCTTAAGATACACCTTAATTTTGTTGTGTAAGACCATATCTCGAAGGTGTTGAGCTTTTTAAAGAAGCTTCATAAAGTGTTCAAGTCTCTATTCTGTAGAGTCTCAGAAAAGGTGGAAAAACAAATCATCTGTAGATGGAGACTTTGGTTCTGAGTGGTAAATAATGACTCACAAAGATATATTTCATCATTATGAATGCTGATCTTGTATTCCTTATGCGTTGTTTTATTTAGATGGACTCGTCGGTATAGGTATCGATGTATGTCAATTGATTAAACGAAAAGTTTTGTATTTAGTATTTCGCGCCTACTGAGTACCTTGTATTTTTTATTATTAAGATTCAGTCCCATTCTCTTAATGGATAACTGATATGCGTGTCATTATTGTTTATAAATCCTCTAAACTATCTGCAAAAACTACTCCGTCGTCAGCATATCTAATATTATATAGATGCTCTCAGATGCATTAAAATTAAATATAAAAAGAGAAATGAAAAAAAAAGTTTTTTTGTATTATTCTACATGTTATACATATTATTGTACATGTATGTAGTGCTGCTGTTCATCTTATATGGTAACCCTAATAATTTAAACGAATAAAATTTAGTAAGAAATATGTTATTTTATTAACCTCTTCTTTTATCATTGATCTCTTACGACTGCTGGAAAATGAAAATCAAATATTTGGTGTGCAGTTAAGCATAAAAAAGACAAATATAATAGTGGATAGACTACATAACAATCATCCACACATAACCACGATTGACCGATTTGAGGTTGTGCGCTTATATTTATATCTGCGATCATTGATCACAAACACAGGGTCACTACAGGAAAAAATAAAACGTAGATGTGATCTATCAAAAGTCGCCATATGAGATATGGCCAAAATATGGAAGGACTCTCAAATTTCCCGAACTCTAAAAATGAAATTGATCAACTGCTTAATATTTCCAACACTGACGGATGTGAATCTTAGACCCGAAGACAAGCGGAAAGAATAAAAGATGACTCTGAAATGTTTTGTTGGAGAAGAATGTTGCGAATTCCGTGAACCGACCACAGGACAACTATTTTAATTTTAACTGACCTAAAAGTCAGCAAACGGCTATCTAGCAAAGTCCATCTCCAACAGTTTAAAATACTTTGGAGATGATATGAGAGCAGACACAGAAAACATGAAAGACTTATTATCCTAGGAACGGTAGAAGGCTGAAGATCACGAGGAAGATCTGCAACAAGATGGATCGATCAAATTACAGGCATGTGCAAAAGACCTATGAATGAATGAAAAGAAATGACCAGAGACAAAGATCTTTGGAGACGGACAATCACGATGACCACTACACTTCCTCCGGAGAGTCAGGATTGAAGAGAGAGGTATTGATATTATTTGACGTAAATATTGAATGCGAATGGACATAAAAATGATTTTTGAAGCGAAGTTTCCAAAAGGATATTCGAGATGGGTACCTAAATGCGATAAAGTGAAACGGCACAGGTATTTCTTTCATATGTAAGACAAATTAGCGAGGTCTCTTGTTAGGCAGTGTCCAGCCAATAAAACTAGTATATTTGTGTATATGTGTAGATAGCCATGTGTAATTTTATACACTTACATACACCGTTATAATTATGTAATAAATAAAAAATAAGGTAATTGACCAAATTTGACAGCAAAATTTTGATTTTGTTCATAAATTTGACATGAAATTGTACCCAATTTTGACAGTGTCCCAAAAGTTGACAGTGGGTTGTATCTATATTTGACATACATTTACAATTTTCAAAATTAATTGTCAGAAGTCTCAGTACTTACTTACTTAGGGAATATAAAATTGATAATAATAATTGTGTCAGGTGATAAGTATATACACTTTTTTTACTGAAAATAAAATTTTTATTCTCAATAACAACGTACAAATGATACCTACATACTTAGGTATCTACATATTTTAGGTAAGTATAGGTACCTAAGTAGAGAAAAGCCATCTTTTTATGTCACGAAACTACAATATTTTCCGATTTCTGGTATGGAATAAATACCTCTATTATTTATTGGTGTTGGAATATTTATTTTTTCTACAATGTCTTCTGCAGAATACCAAAGTTCGTCTGGCTCTGATGGCCACTTCCAATAATTCAGTCCACTTGCCACCATAGCACTAACAAAAAAAACCATTGTAATTTGAAATTTTCTTGACCTTTCCCGGGAATTTTTCACCCTCATAGCAAACTATAACGTAGTCGGTCACATTAATTTCAGATTTTGGAGTAGTTTCCTTCTTTTCGACACCGACTGAATTATCTTCAGTATTTTTTCCATTTAAAAAAATATTCTTCTTCACAAATTCAACTGCACTAGGTCTATAAAGTTTCTTTACTGATCTTTTCTCCTTTTCTTCTTGAAGTTGAAGTTTTTTCTCCTCTCGCTTTCTTTTTCTATCTAGAATTGCATTCTCTTTCTCAGTCTTCTCGTTTTCCTTTTTCAAATAATATTCTTTCCACTGTTCTGAGGAACATACACTTGGAACTTTTTCTTTGACAACTCTTCCTGATTTTTTGTTTGTACTTCCATCTGGCCAAAACAAAATAGATTTAAAAGGGGAGGGTATCAATAGAGCATCCTTATTATTCTTTAAAATCATGTTCTTATTTTCCTTTGCTTCGTCTATCTCTTCTTTATCGTTATTTTTGACGATTTCTTTCTCTATTGTTTCAACTCCCTTAACTGTTATTTCATCGCTTGCTTGCTCGCTACATTTCTCACTATTATCCAAAGTTATATTTGTCTTTTCTTTTTCTTTCCAATTTGTTTCTCTTACTTTAGTTGTCTCATCACTTAGTTGCTCGCTACATTTAATTTTCCCATCAGCCTCGAAAATCGTTTCTTCTTCTCTTTTGTTTCCTACTATTTCTATTATTTTGGTTACATTCTCATTATCCGTTTGCTCCACATATTTGCTACCGTTTTCCAAAACTACATCTTCTCCCTCTATCACTCTATCTATACTAACGATAGTCTCATAGTGTGGTGCTTGTTCTTCACCTTTCTTACTAGGATCTAAAATAATAGTATCTTCTTCATCTAATGTTGTTACATTTGCCTCTCCACTTTCCTTGATGACTGCTTCATTTTCTCCGTTATCTAAAATTTCTTGTTCCTCTGTTTCAATATCTACATCTTCCCAATTTATGTCCTCCAACAAAACATCATGTGCAACCTCTATTATTATATCCTTCGAGACCTCTCCTTCAGGGTGCTTGTTTGCTTGTACCTTTTCATTCAGATTCTTCCAAAGAAAAAATAAGTTTGTATCTTCTACTTTTCCATTCCATTTAGCCAATGTCACCTTAGCTCGAAAACTCTCAAGTAGATTTTTGTCTAGAAAAGATTCTATGACCCTTAAAGCACCTATTAAATCATCTTTAACAACTTTATTTGATTTCAAGTGGCATGTATCTTGTACATCTGAGAGAGTTGATG